ATGACTAAGCAAAATGTGTCCGAAGTCTTTATATAAGCCAATACATTTCACACACACACACACACACACACACACACACACACACCTATATATGTATGTATATATACATCTTTTATGTGTTGAAGCACAAGTGTTTATGATATACTTGGACTTTATCTTGCTTGACACTGTGTAATTATGGTATATTTTGTACTATGTGGCTCTAGTAAGTTGTTCTGATGATCATGTAGTATTTCATAGCATGCAGCTGCCATGTTTTATTTATTCAGGCATATAGTGAATGATTGTCTCTAATACCTCCATTTAAAAATTTTTACATACATAATCCCATTCATCACTTTTCATTAATTTCTCTGTAGGTATGAAATAGAAGTTGGAGTGCTGAGAATCACTTATATAAATACATTTGCCCAGAAATTCTAGGTTGTCCTCCAGAGTGACTGTCCAGTTTATAGTTCCAGTATAGGTATGAGGACACCAGTTTTACCTGTCCCTCACTAGCACTGGTACCTGTCAGCTTCCTATTGGAATGAGTTTAAAGTGAGACCTCATTTTGCTTTGCCTTTATTTGATTCATGATAAGGTTGGGTATGCCTTCATATAGTTGTAAAACACTTGAGTTTCCCATTTATAAGGTGCCTGTTCAAAGCTTTAAAATATTGTGTTTTGATTATAATGGAAACAAGTATGTTTTTGTTCATAGCCTATTTTTCAATTGGGTGAAGGTCCATTTGTTGATTTATAAAAGTTTATTGTATGGGTTAAGTATGGATGCTTCCTTTCTCTTCTATCTGATAACTTCATCAATGTTTAATTTGTTTTTACATATACTGATTTATTCAGATTTGAATAAATGTGTGCGTGCAAACTTTGTTTTTACCTTCCCTGACCCCTTAATTCCTAGAAATATTTTCATCTAAAAAGAGGAGCTAGATGTGATGTGAAGTCTTGAATCAGATCCCATAACAATAAAAGAACTAGTAAAAATGTGGTAGAATCTGAAGAGGACTGATGGAGCTTGGTACATTAAATATTAGCATAAAAGGAATCTGAGCAAAGGGCACATGGAAAGTTGCAACACTGTCTTTGCACCTTTTCTATTAAAAACTATTTAAAATTAAAAGTTTGTTAAATGTTGAAGAGGCATTTCTGTATATCAGTGAGAAATCCTCTGAAAGAGAAACTAGGAAAACAACCCCATTTACAAGGGCCTCAAAAAAAAAAAAAAAAATACACACACACACACACATGGGAATCAACTTAATGAAAAAGGTGAAAGACCTCTACAATGAAATTTACAGAATGCTAAAGAAAAAAATTAAATAAGACCTTAGAAGATGAAAAGATCTCCCTTGTTCTTAGATAGGCAGAATTAATATTGTCCAAATAATCATACTACCAAAAGCATTATAAAGATTTAATGAAATTCAAAACCCCAATGGCATTTCTCATAAAAATAGAAAAACCAGTCATGAAATTCATCTGGAAAAATAAGAGACCCAGAATAGCTAAAGAAATCCTTAGCAAGAAGAGTGAAGCAGGTGGCATCATGATATTAGACCTTAAACTATACTACAGAACAATAGTAAAAAAAAAAAAAAAAAAAAAAAGCAGCATGGTATTGGCACCAAAATAGACTTGTAGACTAATGGTATAGAATAGAGGACACAGAGACAAACCCACACAAATACAGTTAACTCATATTAGACAAAGATGCCAAAACAATGAGTTGAAGAAAGGATAGCCTCTTCAACAAATAGTGCTGGGAAAACTGGAAATCCAGATGCAACAAAATGAAATTAAGCCCCTATCTATCACCATGCACAAAACTCAAAGTGGATCAAGGACATGGGAATTAAACCAGAGACCCTGCACCTAATAAAAAAAAAAAAGTAGGCCCAAATTTTTATCATGTCAGATTAGGTCCCAACTTTCCTAATAAGACTCCTATAGTGCAAGAAACAAAATCAAAAATCAATAAATGGGATGGATTCAAACTGAAAACCTTCTTCTCAGCAAAAGAAATAATCAGTGAGGTGAATAAAAAGCCTACAGAATGGGAGTGAATTTTTATCACACACACATCAGATACAGCATCAATCTCTAGGATATGTAAAGAACTAAGAAATCTTAATTCCAATAAACCAACCCAATCAATAAATGGGCCAAGGACCTGAACAAACACTTCTCAGAAGAAGATATACAATCAATCAACAAACATATGAAAAAATGTTCAATATCTCTAACAATTAGAGAAATGCAAATCAAAACCACTCTAAGATTTCATCTCACTCCAGTCAGAATGGCAGTTATTAAGAACACAAACAACAATAAGTGTTTGTGAGAATGTGGGGAAAAAGGAACACTTATACATTTCTGGTAGGACTGCAAAGTGGTTCAGCCAATTTGGAAAGCATTATGGAGATTTTTTTGAAAACTGGGAATGGAACCACCATTTGACCTAAGCTATACCTCTTCTTGGTCTATACCCAAAGAACTTATAAAGAGTATGCTACAGGGACACAGCCACATCAATGTTTATAGCAGCACGATTCACAATAGCTAAATTGTGGAACCAACCTAGATGCCCTTCAGTAGATGAATGGATAAAGAAACTGTGGTATATATACACAATGGAATACTACTCAGCATTAAAAGAGAATAAATTCATGGCATTTGCAGGTAAATGGTTGGAGTTGGAGAATATTATGCTAAGTGAAGTAAGCCAATTCCCAAAACCCAAATGCCGAATGTTTTTTTCTAATATGAGGATGCTAATCTATAATTGAGATGGGGGATGGGGAAACATGGGAGGAATGGAGAAACTTTAGATAGGGCAAAGGGAAAGGAGGAGAAGGGAGGGGGCTGGGGGGTAGGAAATATCCTGGAATGAGATGGACATCATTACCCTAAGTATATGTATGAAGACATGAATGATGTGACTCTACTTTGTGTACAACCAGAGACATGAAAAATTGTGTTCTATATGTGTACTACAAATTGAAATGCATTCTGCTGTCATATATAACAAATTAGAATAAATAAATAAATTTTAAAAAGTTTAAGAGGGTCTTAAGCATGTACCTGTGTACCAAAGAGCGAAAACCTGAGATATAGTGATGTTTTGGTAACAAAAATAGAGATGAATACCCAAGTGACCATTCAAAACAACAATGGAGAGAGAAAGAATAGTGCTGGGGAGGGAAATGCAGAGTTCCAGTGTGGTGGTAATGTTCCACTTCTTGACCTAGGCTAGTGGCTGCACACATATCCTCAAATATGAAAATTCACTGAACTGTAAATACTTTCCTGTTACAGGTAAATGAACAATGCAGAGAATATATGGAAATAAATGAAGCATCCAAGTAGTGAAATATCTTATGCAGGGACAGATATAGCAGGCAATGACCCATAAATCTAAGGTTTTCAAAGCTAAAAAGACCAAGGAATGGCCAAATCTAGCCTTGGGAAGGTCTTGCAGGAGACTTTGCAGATATTGCTGTGGTAGGACATGCTATAATTTTCTATCAGCATGGATCTTTTTTATTCAAGAAATATAAGCAGAGAAAGTATTTGAAGTTTTTTACTTCCAAAACAACATTAACACATTTGTTATTTATTGAAGAACAGCAGATCAAAGATATATAGACTATTACAACTGGAGGGCTACTAATCTGCCTACTCATTTTGAACATGAGGAAACTGATACCAGAAATATTAGCAACTTGTCAAGAAATTCTAGAGTTAAATCCTCCTTTTTTCCCCCTTAGGTTAATAAATTAGCCAGCATTTCTTCCTAATGCTTGCTTCTGATGAGATAAATTAAAATGAAACATGTAATATCATTAGGTTTTGGCTTGGGTTATTTGATGTTTAATTCAATTTGTTGTCCTGTATTTTTGTATTAAAAATAATTGTTGCTGATCTATAGTGTAATGGAAATGAACAGAACATAACAAGATATTCTCATTAGATACTTAAATCAAGGTCCTTTTTAAATGTGGATCTAATTCATAGAAAATTGAAGCAGAACTTAAAATTTGTGTTTTAAGAAATAAAAATTTTAGGTATGCAATTGTGAGAAAAATAATCATCAGAGAAGCCAAAGCCACGTGATTCTTCCACAACCCCCAGGGTGAGAGATCGATGTCCTGTATCATCAAGAATTCATCACCAGAACACCTGAAATCAAATGCAGAAAGGACATAACTTCATTCCTAGCATCTGTGAAATTTTAGTCAATATATTGCTATTCCTTAAAAAAAAATCTATAGGTTAACAAAATTCAACAATTATCCCTTTATACACAATAGCTATAGCTACCAGTCATTGAAAACTTAGAATTTAGCTTGATACTATGCTAAGCAACTTGCACCTAATATCTTACTTAATAATTAGAATAAAATAATTAGAATAAGATAAATTGAAGGGGTATAGATATCATACTCATTTAAAAGAGGAAGGGAAGTTGGCTTAATGAACTTGGCCAAGTATACAGTCACACTATGAACCAAATTTCTACTTGTTCAAATTCATTTATTTCCAAGTCTGTAATACTATCCTCTTCAAGGACAGAAATGTTTATAAAGTGATCTTTCACTTACTCCTGATGAGGAAAACTGTAGCCTAAATGGTGATGCCTATGCTCCTTCCTTAGATGATCAAAGTTCCTTGTAGTTCTGCTTACCCTCAAGATAACCCTCCTAAAAACAGGCTAAGAATTCTAAAACCAGGAACAGAGGGAAGAAAGGGCTTCCAGCCAGAGTCATGTCTGTCGGCTCTCACTCCAACACTGTGATGAGCATTGCAGATACTCAGCCACAGGATATTACCTGCAGGCCCAGGAAACAGACTTAGACCTTAAAAGCCAGCTGGAACAGAGCAGGATGGAGCATATAGGTGCTTCTTCCACAGGTGGAAAAGCACCTGGTACTAAAACACATGCTGCAGCCTCAGTGGTGGCCTGCTGCCATTCTTGTGCATTTGATATTTAGCAGTTCTTAAAATAGCCATGGCCTGTCTGCTGTAAGAGGAACTGCTTCTTTCTTCTTGTGAGAAGGAGCCCTATGTGAGCATGAAGCCTGTGATGGCTCCTCCTTATCTAGTCCCACACTTCCAACCACTGCATCCTGCCCAGCAGTCTGGTGGTCACTCTGTGTTACAAACATGACACACCTAGATCAAACCAAGGAGAGGAGGCCCAGTATATAAAACCTGTCCTCCTGGAGGTATTTATGGTTGGTAATTCAAAATAGAAATTTTTCATATTACTAAGAACTCCCAAAAGGGATTTAGGATACCAGCATTCTCTTTTCTCTCATTATTTTTGTATCAATTTCAAATGATTAAGTAAAATATTAAAATAGAATACAAGGACTTCTAAGTTTATTAAAACCTGTATTTCTGTTTTAAGGACATGATGCAAACATGAGATTTCTTTCTCAAGTTGCTGAAATATGTGTTTTCACTAAAGAACATAAACACAGATAGGGAGAATCCCAAGTCAGTCATACACAACACTATGTGAGCAGAGGGAAACACTAGATCCAGATCCTAATGTTACTCCCTTTATGCTCCTGCTGCCTGTTAGCTCCTACTGTGGTCCATGGTCTGGGCTGACTGCACAGAATCCATATATCAAGACTATAAGCTTTGCTAAACTATTAAAGCAGCCTGTTTTAAATTCAAATGTTCTGAAAAGTGAAAACTCAAAATCACTCAAAAACTCAAACATTAATCTTTCAAAAGGCCCCAGTGAACCTTTCTCCACATTGAAAACAATTTGATTATAGCAGAATATAAGTACTACATACTCACATGCATCAGTGCATAATGACTCACTTTATGAGTGAGAAAATGTAGGCTTAGAAAGGTTTGTTGTCCCTAAAAAGACATGTACCACCTCTAACACCATAGGACCCCCTATACCTCATCTCAGTGATAAGGAAACCCCTTATAACATTGTATACAACTTACATTACATAGTTGGAACATATACGGCCAGGTGTTGTACTGAGTGCTGAACAGAAGTATTGTCCCAAAAACTCATTATGCAGCAAACCCTATGTGAAACAAAGAGTAAGGCAAGGTGGTTTTAAATTTCAAAAAATTTCCAAAGAATTATCACAATTAAGTCCTCAAGTTTAATCCTTAATGGTATTTTCAAAGGCATACCAAGTTGCATATTCATAGTGTACCACAGCGAAGTAACTAAAGTTATTGCCCCTGGAAATCAAGAGGCCTAAGGTTGGGATATTGCTTCCAATTGGCCAAGAAGGGAGACCTCTTGCTGGAATCCCATAGCGACTTCCTTCTTCTTTCCTTAATTGTATAACCCTATAAGCTTTATAACCAAAATGATACAGTATTGCTCAATGAATAATACTGATTTATGGTAATGATGATTTCTTGTTTTCATCAAAATCACTCATAGGCGTTAGAATCTGGTTACACTGCATTAAGAAACAGCATTCTTTGGAGTTGATTCCTTTGCTAGAGCTATAGGGCTAGGAGTATTATTTAGCCTCTGCTTCTCTTATAATTTCCCTTTAATCATAAGCTAAATATCCCAGTCTCCTATCCCTTTATTTATTTCCTCATTGAACTGAAACACAATGTTTTCATCAATCTTTCTGCTTTACTATGAGATTTATTCTCCCCACCCTTCTTTGCCCTCAAACCACAGGGTGACTAAAGAAAACCAGAAATGAGTCCCTGACATTGTGCTTAAAAAAGGCTATTAGGAAATCCTCATCCATTGCTCCTGAAAGGAAATTATGGATGGAAGGTATTCATAGGTCATGGCAGGGGAAACAGATGGGTAGATTTTATTTGCATTGTTCCCACCTTGGGGACCCACTCACAGTGACAGTCAAGGACACCTTACCGTTAGGCCATAATAAGGAATGCTGAAGTAATGAATCCATGAGAGCTGAGGAGTCATGTTTTCAAAATATAACGACAGACCCAAAAAAATCTACAAAAATAAAAATCATGGGTTAGAACTGGTCCAGGAATTTCATAAGAAATTCTATAGAAGATAGGCTCCAAGAACCCTACAACCTTCTAAACATTTCCTCTAGGAACAACTCTTGAAATACTTTGCACTTGCCCTAAACATTAGTCTTCCTTTGCATGTGTAAATTTCTGCATGGCTAAGGCTGCTTATGGTTTTAAGTTAAGGAAAATAGAGTATAATCTATATTATATATTCTACTTACTTGGAAGATCCTTAATTGTCAATACTCTGTCAAGAACATTCTCTGTACTCCTACATAATGGAAGATTAAGAAGTACACTTGTCTCTTGGTGTCCAAAGGAGACTGGTGCCAGGACCCACACAGAGAAGCCCAAATCTGCAGATGTTCAAATCCCTTTATTTCAAAATAGCATCACATTTTAAAAATATGGAACCCAAAGTAAATCCTTTATGCTTTATGAACATATTTTATATTTTAAATCATCTCCATGATTCTTATAATATTAAATACCATATAAATGCTACATATGTAGCTTATACCATAGGCATGTAACCATGTATATGTTATAGTTTACGGAATAATGACTAAAAGCTATTATTCATATTCAGTAGAGACATAATTCTTGTTTTGTATGTTTTTCATCTGTGGTTGGTTGAATCTTCCAATGCAGAACTCACAGACACAATGAGCTGACTCCTGACTCTTCTTATTATACTATTACCATTTTTCCCCTCCCTAATAATCCCAAAAAACTAGGAATAGATAGAGGGACATTCCTGAGCATTATGTATTCCTCTCTACTTCCAAACAGCAACAAGATTTGTTGTTTACAAGAGTTTGTATTTTGTATCCATGATGTTAAGAATTTGGTTTTCAGAATGCAGGCTTCACGTTTCCCAAAGCCTAGAACTGATAAATGGCCTAAGGTGGTATAGTAGAAGAAAATATGGTAAATCCCCCCATTTAAAGCTATGAGTAAGCGGTATTGCAATGCTGACTCAGGAAGAAATGCTGGAGATGAATGAGAGGCAGCTAAGAGACCCACACAACACATGACCCAACTGACACAAAGGAGGTTAGAATATGCACAGCAATGGCAGAGCTGCGTTGTGCCTGCATATGCCACCCTTGACCTTTCCTGTAAGGCTGCCCTCTGGCTCTCTCCAGTCTATGATTCACTCAGGGCTGTTCTTGGCACATACTTTGTCAACTTCATACCCTGTTTCCAAATTGCTGCTTAAGCTACCAATTAATCTCTACCAAATCTCTTGAAAATTTCTTTGAGAGAGTCATTATGGCCTATTATTTTCTAAAAACAAAAGATATTTCTCAGCCCCTTTATTCCTCTCCACAGAATCGGTATTTGCTGCCATACCCTCCATAAAAATTTCACTTTTCTTTGTAACAGGCCCTATACACTCTTGATTTTTCCACCCCAATCAAGATTTTGCTTTTTCTCAATTAATACTAGTAATCTTTATATATACTTCAAAAGCTTGTGTTGTACATGATAAAGATATACAATTTAAAACGAAAAGAATACAAAGAAAAAGAAAAGAAAAATACCAGTAATCTCAAGAATCACATTTCAGTTCCAATTCTGGGTTTGAACATTTTCCCCCAGCCAGCAATGCCCCTTACCAGAACAGAGACCAACTCACAGAAAGAGCTGATTCTGGTTCACAAAGAATTCCATCACTGACACGCTGCTGAGACACTGGTAGACCATCAGGAAGAAGAGCACCCCTGCTCTGCCAGGACAGAATGGGAACAAAAGCAACTCAGTCAACTCAGTGCTCTTAGGTTAGTTTCTTCCCACAGAACTCCTCCCAGAAATAATGTAACATCAAATACAATTTAAAAACAAACATAGCTCTTTAGGTTTCAATGGACAGGAAAGTGTGACCTGCCTCTAGTTGCTCCCCCAACTCTGTGTCTCAGTGGTGCCTCTGTGACTCCACACTATGACACGTATTAAAATACCAGTTTTAGGTTGCTGTGCATGGACTTGTGCTCCCTAAAATTCAGATGTTGAAGAGATAGTCCCCAATGTGACAGTCCTGGGAGGTAGGTAGGTCCTTAGGGAAGTAATAAGGCTTAGATTAGGTAGTGAGATTGGAGCCCCCATCATGGGATTAGTGAATTGGTGGAGAGGAAGAAACATCAGGTGCTCTCTGCCATGAAAGGAAGTGAAGGCCCCATTTAAGAGCCAGGGAGGGACCCTCACAGGAGTCTGATCTACTGAAAGAGAACTCTGGTCCCAGACTTCCAGACTCCAGTATTGAAAGAAAATAAATTTCTGTTGTTTAAGCCACCAAGTACATGGTATTTTCCTATGACAGCCTGAACTAACATAAAATACCCTCTCATCTTCAAATTAACTCACAAAAAATGCTGAATATCATTCCTAAAATATGAAAAGAGAAACATTAACCTAAGTAAACCTAAATAAAGCTCCCAAAGGTTAAAATATTTGATTATCCAGTTTTTTTAATTTGTTCTAATTAGTTATACATGACAGTAGAATGTATTTCAACACATCATACATAAATGGAGTATAGCTTCTCCTTCCTCTGATTGTATAGGATGTATAATCACACCAGTCGTGTAATCATATATGCACATAAGGCAATATTGTCCAGTTCATTTTACTATCCTTCCTATCCCCATACCTTCTCCCCTCTCTTTATTTCACTCTGCCTAATCCAAAGCACTTCTACTTTTCCCTAGCCACTCCACCCCTTATTGTGAATTAGCATCCATAAATCAGAGAAAACATTTGGTCTTTGGTTTTCTGAGATTGGCTTATTTCACTTAGTATAATATTCTCCAGCTCCATCCATTTACTGGCAAATCCCATCATTTCATTCTTCTTTAAGGCTGAGTAATTGCCGCAGTCTGGCTGCAGCAAACTAACCGGGGGGGTGATGAGCAATTTGTGAAGGTTGATACAGCAGGAGTGGGAGCCGTTTATTGTAGGACAGTAGGAGTATATATAATAACTAATTACACACAGCTTATCTTAATTAACATAAACTAGATACAGCAGTCAACCAATAAGGAATCCTCATCATAATGATTACACACAGCTTAACTTAATTGACATAATCTAGACACAGCAGTCAGTCATTAAGGAATCTCTATCATCTTAATGGCTAGCTGGCGTTACTTCACAAACCACTCCCTCTGGCAAAA